TCGATGTGGTATATCAGCTTATGTTACATGAAAAAAAGGAACACAATAATACTCATCTAAACAAAAAGCAGACAAGAGACCTATAATATTTCATATTAGTGAAGGTATGATCTTGATAAAGTTTTTTGTTTTCATTTTCATCTGCGTTTGTTTTCTATGTTAGCTGGACTTTTTCCTCTCTTGTTCGTTGGAGTTATAAGAATATTATAAGATCAATTTAGATAAACGTTTTTATATATGCTGCAATGATCACATCATGTAAACCACTACTAGACTAATCACAAGTTGTTATGGTTGTGATTCACATAACTCGCACATACAATTAACTAAACGAACGTAGTAAACAATACAAACCCTATATTAATGAACATGGGAGACTTTTAATATTGAATATTCTAGACGTGATAACATTGGTGAAACCACTTTCAATCATACGTGGGTTTGAACCACGGGTTCCTCTCCCCTTCGTTAATGGGCCAGAGCCAGTGGAGTCAGTGGCAGCAACCGTGGAGGGGACCGTCGTCGACGTGGACAACAACAACATATGAACCAAATAAGCCAACCTAGGAACCGCACTATTTGGCTCACGAGTATCATAACAGGAAACACGATCCAAAATCCCAAATAAATCAGTAGTATATAAATGATTATTTGATCGTCGGACTGAACCAACGCGACGGCGAAGAAGAACGCCGCCGATATACATAGAACCGCGGCCACCATAAAAGTTACCAGGATCGCCATTATCATTCGGTTTCTAAAAAAGATATCATAACATCAGGTACTTTATTTTTTTTTAAATATCTTAAACCAAAGAAGTCGCACTAGTGTTTCCAATAAAACAATTAGATAAATTATACATGGGTTTATGAAAACGATTTGCCATAATCCTTTAAGTCCAATCAAATTGCGACGAGTCAATACTTTGTTTACCAATGATTTGTTGAATTAATCAAAGTCAACTTTTGAAAGTATTGAGCCGATATACTTCGGATACTTAAACCATAGTCCATAGTCAGCATTTTAATCTAGGCTATGTCTCAATTTACATCACTACAAAATAATTAAATTAAATCCCTCACTTATGCATATCTTGTCAAAACACATATTTGCTTTAAATTTTTCCAAAGTTGATGATTATATAAACAAGTTATTCTAATTTACCTACCCGCAACCTTACTATACGAAGTTGCAAATATGAAAGTATTGTGTCGATATATACTTCGGAGTTCGGATACTTAACCATAGTCAACATTTTAATCTAGGCTATATCCAGGGCCGTGCGAAGCTATTTAGAGGCCTAAGGCGAAAAAAAAATGTTCATCTCTTCTAAAATTGTTATATAAAACAATACTAAAGTTATGCTTTTTTATAAAATTATGTTACCAAATCAATGTGAATAATGTATAAAACGTATATAGTATTGTAAAAACATACGATTTCGTAGTGTTATACAAAAATCTAGATATAATTTTGTTTTCTGAAGAGAAACTGTACTATTTAATTACATCAAAAATTGTCTACTAAAATGTTATCGGTTTAGATTGTGCAAATATGATCATTTTTATTCATTCTATCTAAAATCATTACTAAACGCCGATATTGTAAAGGAAAGTCCCATTAAAACTTGCCATTAAACAACTTAATTTTTAAAATTGGGACCCTTAAATATATTAAAAAATTGGGGGCCTAAGGCACTTGCCTATTTTGATACACACTAAGCACGGCTATATCACACAATTTACATGACTACAAAATAATTTTTCAAAGGTAATGGATTATATAAACAAGTTATTCTAGTTTACCTATCGGCAACCTTACTATACGAATGTCTTTC